AGAAAATAAATAAAATAAACAATTTAAAAACAAAACTTAGGGTGTCAACGATTTCTTATTTTCGTTGGGCTGTAGGCCTACATGTTTTAAACCAACATCAACAAAAAAGAAGATCGTTTAAGAGGTGGACTACTTTTTCAAGCTTGTCTGTCGGGGCCAACCCGGGCTGAATGAGATAAGTCTTGCCCAGAGAGCACGGTATTAAACCAATACCTGCTGACCTGGGCGATATCGCCCACTCTACCCTGGTATTTTGGTGGGCGGTCGTGATAACGTGGGTAGTGACTAGTGATAGGGGATGCACTCAACCCCCCCCCTACCCCACCCCGCGCCCCCATATGGGAATAATAATATGTAGGTAGGCGGTTCGAAAATGTTGACATGGTAAAAGTGGGCGTTGGCAGTAAAAATGTTGACAAACATTGGTGTAAACTATACTTTGATTTATCTTGGAAACGACCTGTTTTGTGCCTTTCTAGATTTTTTTCTTCGAAATATAACAGCTTACTTAAAAATTCAAAACCTGTTCCTGCAACCACATTACTGAGACAACCCACTGTAAAAACAAAACTACGTCCCATTTCCTCGCTTGTGCTTTTTAAAACTATATCATCATAATGACCCTACCCAAGAGTACCATCTGTCTATGGGTGGTCTTGAACAGGCTTCACAGTACGATGTAGATCTTTTAGTTTTAGTTTTAGTAAGAGTTTTACAGCACTTGCAACACAATAAGATCATATAAGTGCCGAAGAATAGATGTGTTACAAGAGAGTAACAAACACAAAAAGAAGGAGGGGAGATAAGGACGACAGATGTTTAATAGGAAAGAAGGAGCAAACCACACCAGAGCACCCGCCAACCACCCACGATGAAGATCTTTTCGGAGAGGGTGCACTTACATAATCTCTCACCACCATTCGATCGACGACATTCTGCAAGTAAGACAAGTTCGTGACCTACAAGGAGACAGTCGTTAGGTTTGTGTTTAATGATAGGGCCAAAAAGCAACCAAGATTAACGGAGGACCAGCGAAACAACCAAGCAGCAAATAAGAATAACGACTACCGTACAACAACAGATAACTTTTTATTATATTATGCGATCATTGTATTGACAGAACTGTCGTACCGGTACTGCACACAGGGCATTGTCCTTTCCGCTGTTGCTTACGAGGGAAAAAAAAGGAGGGCAACATAACATTATATTATTCTGAAACCTGAACATGTTTAAACAGAACTGACGCTCATTGCGCTGTGGAGGAGGAAGTAGGCCACAGGGCAAAGTGAGAGAAAATTTGAATAGAAAGTCTATTGTTTTAAAAAGAAAATATTGTCTTCTGAATCACATGCACTCGATTTTGAGATAGATCTAGATTTTAGATCTACTGACTGCGAAAAGCTTCTCCTTCATGGTTAGTTTATGTTTTTAACATAGAAAACTTGGCCTAATTTTCATTTTCACCTCACCCATGGGGTAGATCAAGCCTACACGCACATACATCTCTCGTAGCAGTCAGAAGCAGGATATAGAAAAGCATGGGCGGGACATGTTATTGTGCAGAATAAGCAAAACTTGAGATTCTAATTCTGGTTTGGTGATAACGGGACACACACAACACGAATAAAGTGCGCGCACAAGGAAACACACAAAAAGAAACCCCTCGCCAGTTAGCAGAAAGCCCCGCGCACTTCGCTGCTCGACGGACAGAAGTCGGTGAAGGACCGCGACAGCCCGTCGTTGATGACAGGCGACCCACCAAGTGGCCTTGGAGATTGTCACGTCGTCTGCCACTTTCTGATTTCGTTGTTTGACGAGACGTTGATCTAGATACAAACACATTGCTCCTACAACCACCTTCTAAAAAAATATAGTCGTTTTTTGCCTCTCTCTCTC